CCCGACCCGAAAGCGAATTCTGTCGATTGATAGGTATCACTTGGATTGCTAACATTCTGCGAATGCATTGGTGACGCTGCTGACATGCCAGAACAATACATGAATAATTCAATGATTTAAAGGTGAAATATATTGTGGTTATGTATGGAAATTAGTACCTGTGGTGATGATTGCGGCTTTGATGGCAGAGGGAGACCAATCTGGGTGTAGAGTTTTGAGGTAAGCAGCTACGCCGGCAACATGTGGGCAAGCCATAGAAGTTCCAGATAACACATTGAAACTGTATCGTCTTTTGTCATAGGGGTCACCAGTTAATGATGCTTCAGGAGAAAACCCAGCCAAGATATCCACCCCAGGAGCACTGACATCCGGCTGGAAAAAAACATTAATCCAACGATCACAAACATAGCTAAAGCGATTCGATCGATCTCTGATGTTGAAATTGAAATATTGGATAATGATGTCGTCGACAAACCTTGAGAATAGCAGAGATGATAGAATTCGGACCCCTGGAGGAGAAGGAAGCCACCAATGGTGCTCCAGAATCTTTTAGAGTGTCACTTTTCAGTATCTTGGCCACTGGATTTCTATGGGAAAAGAAAACAACTGCATAAGTTAGCTTAATTAATCCAATTGTGGTTGTGGCCATATAACTAAACAGGACTAGAATCATATGTATGTATGTCTGTTTACTTGGTGGATGTATGATATGAGACAATGGCGTCAAAGGTTTGGCGATCCACTCCCGCGCCAGGGGAGGAGACACCATCGGCGACATCAGGGGTGTCCCAAGGGAAGATAACTCCAACAGCACCAGCTTCTATAGCCACAATTTGGGTGTTGCTGGAATCGCATATCGCGATTTTGCCCTTGGCTACACTGCTGTTAAGGCAGCCAGCATCACAAGATCTAACAAAAGACATCGATCAGTAAAGTTACACATAATAATTACAGATCAATATAAGTAGCAAGCAAGCTAAGATAAAATGGAGATGGAGGCCGGTGTGTGAGGACTCACCCTGCGCAGCCCTGTGATGGATCTCCATGTATCAACGGCAGCTCCTCGCTGTTCTCCGGGAACGGATTCACTGAGATCCCCTGCAAGTACATTACCCAAATCAAATCCAAAGTGTGACGCACGCACATGACGATTGATTATGAATCTTATACTATTTAACAACGTATACTTACTGTAAGTATCCTGCCATCGCCAAGAACAACTTTGGTTTCGAACTTCCGATCGATGGTGCTGGCTGCAACTGATAGTAACCACGGAGCCACACTGGCCATGCTGGCGGGTGATTCCCCGTCATTACCGACGGCTTGTACGGTCAGGATTCCACGGTTTGTCGCGTGAAAACCCCCAATTGCAATGACATCTCGGTCTATCTGGCCGGCGATACCGGTCGAGATAGATACGGATTTAACGTCGACGCCGTCAGCTATTGCATCGTCGAAGGCGGCCAGAACATCCTCTGAAGAACAAGTTATGTCATCGCACGCCGAATACGTAGCGATTCGAGCGGAGGGAAGTCCACCTCTGGCGACGCCACTTGCCAGCCCATAGAAAGTGGCGTCCTTTACCACGTTCCCCGCTGCCGTTGACGCCGTGTGGCTGCCGTGACCTTCGTAATCCCTTGCCGACCGGCGGCCGGAGTAGTACCGAGCTCCGATTATCTTACTGCCATCAATTCATGACTACAGTTATTGTAATATTTGAGTTACAATTATATAGTCATAGAAAGAAAATCAAAGTGATAAAAATGAAAGTTTAGCCTATGCATAGTAGAATCCGTACTTGTTACAAGTGAAATTGAATCCGCCTTTGCAGACACCCTTCCATTTGGCCGACGGAGGACCAAACCACGGTCATCGAAACTGGGTAGTTCCGGCCAAATTCCACTATCTATGAGTCCAATTACGACATCACTAGCAACACCCTCAGCGTTCTTAATCATCGTGGGTTGAGGAAATCCTAAGAAATCCCATGACCTCGTGGTCTGAAGCTGCAACTTCTTGCTTGGGAAAATAGAGATGACGTCTTTTCTGCCTACAAGGAAAAAAAGACAGGCTTATTAAGGGCTCATCAATGGCGTGTATGATTGATTGATTATGGTTACGATGATGATCGGTCTAAATATGTTAATTAAAACTAATACTAGTCATTGATCAATATTCTCGTGTATATACAAATGATGTTTGTATATTTATCATTAAAGTCATATGTATGTTCTGAAAGTCTTATTTATGTTCTAAAATGACTAAAAAAAAATCCTTAATGGATTAACCATGAATGAAAATGAATTCTCACAAACACAAAAATTGAAGAGTTAATAAATAATTTTATTTGGAAATATTTATAAATAATAATTCTATGACTATTTTCATTTTATCATACTTATAAAATTGTACTACACCTCCATTTTAGAATAGGGACTCTACAATTCATTGTACGATCTTGCCTATTAGAAATTAGAGTGAAGACATTTGTGCATGGAAGGAGACATATTTCACGTACAAGAAATCGTTTGGGCTTCGTCATTGATTAGTTGTGCCGCAAATCCGTTGAAACTCCTTTTGTAACTCCTGACCAATAATCTTGTCGACTCTAATGGGCTGGACGAATGAAATTATTATAACCAATTATTAGAATTTTCAATTTGACTTATTAAAAAATGATTACCAATATGTATCAAATATGCTATACGGTCTGCTATGCCAACATTAAATAGAGCAGGAAAACACGAATAATTTTTTTACAAGGACGACAATTTTAAATACATTTGATATGTATATCGAATTATATGAGTATTAAACGAGTTTTTGCTAATTATTATGATGACTAGAGATACCGGGAAAATCTCGACCTGTCATCGACAACTTCTTGAAGTATGGAGAGATGGTGAGATGGTGGAGAATACTGTTGATCATGCTTAGGCAATGCGCCCATGTACACTATATAAACCTCTTAGTTCAAAAAAAAAAAAAAAAAAAAAAAAAAAAAAAAAAAAAAAAAATGAATTCTCTCGATTTCTCTGAAATCTCCCCGGCGACTACGGCTCCGTCTCCCTCCGGCCGGCCACCGGATCCCTCGATTCCATCTTCCGTGTTACCTACTCTCTGCGAACCAGCCAGGGGTGATGTCTCAACAGAGTCCTCTCCAATGGCGGTGGATAAAAGTGCCTCGAAAGAGGATCAGGCAGCTGATAGTCCGAATCCCTCCAAGCAAAGTCTTACCTCGTACGCTAAAGTGGTGGCTGGAGCGGAACAGCAAGGGGTTTTAGCCATCCCCGAATGGACCCCTGTTGGGGAAAACGATCTGATTCCCGGTCAAGTTAATGGAGAGCCTGCTCTTCGTATCTCTGCTGGGTTTAAGGGCCGACTCTGCGCGCCTTGGCAAAAAACCCTGGTGGTTCGTCTTCTGGGGCTCCGCTTAAGCTTCACTACCCTCTGTTCTCGGCTTCGAGGGCTATGGCGGCCCACTGGAGCGATGGAGGTTATGGATTTGGATGAGGCTTGTTATCTTGTTCAGCTGTCAAACGATCAGGATTACTTCAAAGTGCTCACGGACGGACCTTGGGTTATCTACGATCACTATCTGGCGGTTCAGCAGTGGACACCGAATTTCGGGGTTCTTGATCCCCTGCCGAAGACCATGATAGTTTGGGTTCAGCTTCCAGCACTCAAGGTACATTTTTACCACCGTGAGATCCTTACTTCCCTAGGAAACCTCATCGGTCGCACGATTAAGCTCGACTACCACACAATTAATCGACAGCGCAGGAAATTCGCCCGCTTGGCCGTGGAAATCGATATGTCCAAACCCCTCGTTCCCCGCATCTTCTTGGACGACCAATGGCAGAAAGTTGTGTATGAGAACCTTCCGACAGCTTGCTTCGAGTGTGGAAAAGTTGGCCACAAATCCGATGACTGTCCTTTGCTGCGACCGGCGATACCTTCCGTTCAGCTGTTTGGCGCCGGCGAGCAAAATCCGGCCAGCCCTGTTACCGTTGGGAAGGAGGATCAGCCGGGATTTGGGCCATGGATGCTAGTTTCCAAGAAAAGTCGGCGTAAATCTAGGGATACGGCAAAGAAAGGAAAGGCTGAGCTTTTTATGGAAAATGGAAGTCAAGGACAGGCATATAAAAACGAGAAAGGAGGAGCTAAAATTAAGGAGGGAGACGTTCTCCCGTCTGCCTCTGTGATTGCGATGAACCAGCCCTCCCAACGTACTCAAGGGCAAGAAAGGAAAGGAGGTAATAACAAAATGGGCAGGGATTCTTCGTCGACTACAGGCAAAGGGGCTCCTAAAGGCAAGGAAATTATGCGGGCTGAGAAGGAGATGAGTAAGGGTCTTTTGGGCCCTGGCCCAGTGAAGGGACCGGGCAATTTTGGGTCGAATGGCAAAGCTTCCTCGTCGGATGCTAGCAAAGCTTCCTCGTCGGCCCAAGGCCCAACCTCTCCTAAAGCTGTGTCTTCCCAGACGGATCCGCTTGCCACGCCTCAAGACGATGGGCCTGTGGCAGTTAATGAAGCAGGGCCCAACACAAAACCACCTGCCCATCTTGTAGTTGGGTCGAATGGCACTAAAATGCAGATTATTTCTTTCCCATCGTCCCCGAAAAGGAATCGCCAATCTGAGAGTAAATCCCCATCGGCGGCCGAACGAACGAGAAACAAGAAATACTCCCGGCGCCAAGCTAAGAAGAGTTCCCCGGTGAAACTCCAAGCCTCCAAAGCTCTGCAGGTCTGGTCCCCCGTGAAAGATAGAAAGGTCAAAGCCAAAGCTCGGATGGCGTCCCTTACCCTTCAGGAAATCAATGCCTGGACTGGAGCGATGGACAAAGCCGAAGCAGAGCTGAAACTCTCCGATACTCGTGTAGCTCCAACGGAGGAATCTGCTCCAGTGGACGGCCCGGCTTTTGCTCCTGCCTCGACGGTTTAACCCGGTGATTTCGTTCTCGAGCCCTCTCCCTCTGTTTCGTTTTTTTTCCCCCTTAATGTCTGTGTCTACTTTAAATAATCTTAACATTCTCTCCTGGAATGTGGGTGGCGCTGGGAGCAGAGCCTTTTCTCGCGCTCTTAAGCTGACTATTCAGACCCATAAACCTGATTTTGTTGTTATTCTCGAACCGCAGATCAGTGGCAGCGTGGCCAATTCTGTTTGTGACAAGATGGGGTTCCCGGACGTGATTCGTGTGGAGGCTGAGGGTAGGCAGGGTGGAATTTGGATCTTCTGGGATGCTCGTCGCTTCCAAGCCCAAGTCACTTCGGCCTGCTCCCAACACATCACCATTCGAATTTCGCAAAACAATATGACTGATTGGATGCTCACGGCGGTCTATGCTTCCCCTCGCCCTGCCAGACAGAGACCTCTCTGGGACAGCATCTCGGCTCAGAGCAGAAGCATCGATATTCCATGGATCCTCACTGGGGATTTTAACGCCATTAGATCACCAGTTGAGAAATCCGGAGCTGCGTCGGTGGCTACTCTGCGTAGATGTCGGGTTTTTAATGAGAGAATTAATGATGCTGATCTTGTGGATCTTGGTTTCTCTGGCCCTAACTTCACCTGGTCGAGGGGGGAAGATTCGGGCACCTACAAGGCCAGCAGAATCGACAGGAGCTTATGCAACATTGCGTGGAACTCTGTTTTCCCCAACACTGTTGTCCGCCATCTTCCCCGCCTAAACTCCGATCACAACCCCATTCTTACTTCTTTTGCTTCCCAGGGGCAATCTTCTAACCTCTCTCGTCCTTTCAAATTTGAGGCAGCTTGGCTTACTAGTAATACTCTTCTGTCTACTATTGCAGGTGCTTGGGACTCCTCTGCTTCCTTACCTGACGCGCTCTCTAACCTTAGTTCGGCGCTGCAGGCTTGGAATAGGGAAGTTTTCGGGAATGTACAGCAGAAGAAGAGGAGACTTCTGGGACGTATCCGGGGAATTGAGATGCGCCTCTCGGAGGCTTTTCATCCGGGGCTGGCCAAGCTTCACTCCAAGCTCGAAGCAGAGCTTGATGCAGTCTTGGAGCAGGAGGAGCTCATCTGGTACCAGAGGTCTAGGGAGAGCTGGGTCAAGTTTGGAGAGCGGAATACAAGCTATTTTCATCAGCAGGCCAACATCAAGAGACGCAGGAATAAGATTACCTCGCTCCGGGACCAGGCCGGAACTTGGATCGATGACCCTCAAGCCTTGGCTTGTATGGTTTTTGATTTTTATACTAATCTTTACCTGCAGGATGACTCGGTGTATGAAGACAGGTTGCCGAAGAACGCCTTTCCCCGGCTGGCTCAAGATGACCTCCTCTGTTTGCTGAGACCGTTCACCTCTATGGACATCCATAAGGCGATCTTCGAGATGAAGCCTTTTCAAGCGCCGGGCCCAGACGGTTTTCATGCTGCCTTCTATCAGCAGGCCTGGAGAGTGGTTGGGAAGGCCTTAACGGACATGGCGCTGGAGTTTTTCAACTCAGGAGTCCTACCTGAAGCGGTCTCCGAATCAACTGTTGTTCTTATCCCCAAAGTCGATCACCCGGAATTTGTGACCCAGCTTCGCCCTATCTCGCTTAATAATGTGAGCCTCAAGGCTGTTACCAAAGCTATCACGAGTAGGCTGAAGCCGGTCATGAGGAAGCTCATCTCTCCTCGCCAGAGCAGCTTCATCCCGGGTCGTCAGACAACGGATAATGTGATTGTGGTGCAGGAGGTGCTGCACTCCCTTAGAAAGAGGAAAGGAACGAAAGGGGGTCTTATCTTGAAGATCGATCTCGAGAAAGCTTATGACATGCTCCGCTGGGATTTCCTTCGTGACACTTTGAAGGAGGTGGGGCTCCCCAGTTCTTGGATCCGATGCATCATGTACTGTGTGGAGCAGAACAAAATGCGGGTGTTATGGAATAACACCTTGTCCTCCCCCATCACCCCTACTCGTGGAGTTCGCCAGGGAGACCCTCTCTCTCCTTATCTTTTCGTTTTGTGCATGGAACGTTTATCTCATAGAATTGATGCGGCCTTCCATAGTGGGCATTGGAAGCCTATTCGGCTCACTAGGAATGGACCGCCTCTCACTCATCTTTTTTTCGCAGATGATCTTCTGCTTTTTGCAGAAGCTGAGACAAGACAGATCAGGATTATCAAGCAGTGCCTGGAAGATTTTTGCTCAAGTTCCGGGCAGCGAGTCAACTATGCCAAGTCCTTGATGTATGTGTCGCCGAACGTCGATAGGTCGAAGGCTCGGCTTTTGAGCGAGCGTGCTGCGATTCCTCTAAAGGCGGAGCTCGGGAGATATCTTGGCATTCATGGAATTCATGGCCGGGTGACTTCAGGGAGATATCAAGGCCTTCTCTTGCGCATCCAGAAGAAGCTGGCGCCATGGAAGGCTAAGCGGTTATCCCTGGCCGCCCGCCTTACTGTTTCCAGGTCCATCATTTCCTCTCTTCCCACCTATCATATGCACACGGAGTTACTGCCTAAGGGTGTTTGTGCTTCTATTGATCGCATTAACAGGAATTTTGTCTGGGGAGATGAGGAAGGAAGATCTAAGCTCCATCTTGTTGGTTGGGAGAAGATGATCTTGCCCAAGAGCCAAGGAGGGGTTGGCCTCCGCTCTGTGCGAAATGCCAACCTGGCCATGCTTGCCAAGAGTGGTTGGAGACTTCTTAAAGAGAAGGACATGCTGTGGACGCAGGTGATCAGAGATAAGTACTGCCGGAACAAAGAAAATCTGGACCTCTTCCGTTCTGTTCAGGGAAGTTCCTTTACCTGGAAAAGCTTTACCAAAGCTTCCTCCCTCCTGAAGGAAGGATGTGCTTGGAATATAAAGAACGGAAATACCACTAAGTTTTGGAATGATTCTTGGATTTTGCAGGAGCCTCTCAAGAATCTGGTGGTGGGAGAGATCCCTAGCTCGCGGACCGAGGAGGTGGTGGCGGACATGGTGACGGAGGAGGGAGAATGGCGCATCGACCTGTTCGAGGACCTCCTCCCCCAGAGGATTCAGCAGAAAATTGTTGGGGTGGCGGTGGATAAGCTCTCTAGCGAGGAGGACACTCTCTTCTGGTGTTTGTCTTCCACCGGAAGGTTCACGGCGAAGACGGCGTATCAGCATCTTCTCCCGCAGGAGCCTGACCCCGATGCCAATTTCTGGAAGATCATCTGGAGCCTTCCCGTTCCGGAGCGGATCCGGTGTTTCATGTGGTTGGTTTGTCTTGGCAGAATCGCGACTAATGCGCTTCTGTTCTCGAGAAGAATAGTCGCCGCTCCGTACTGCCCTCGTTGTAACGGTCAGGTGGAGTCTATTCTTCATATCCTCAGGGATTGCCCCCCGGCAGCGTATTTCTGGATTAGACAGGTGCCCAGCAGTAGACAGCAGGCCTTCTTCTCAGCAGATACTGTTCCATGGCTGAAGATGAACCTAAAGACGGATGCGGATAAGCACTTAGGGGTCGAGTGGGCGACTTTCTTCAGCATCACCGCTTGGCTCCTGTGGAAGAATAGAAATGACATGTGCTTTAAAGGTATCTCAGCCACTCTCACTCCTCCTTCCTTGGCTCATTCGATTCTTGCAAAAGTGAAGCTATGGAGTGAAGCCTGGAACGCCCCGTCCTTGCTGCCGTGCGGAAAGAGGGCCTCTGCTCCTCGGAGGGTGGTGGACATTGCTTGGAGCTCGCCTCCTAACGGATGGGTGAAACTAAACATTGATGGGGCCTCAAATGGTAACCCCGGACCGGCTGGGGCGGGAGGCGTGTTGAGGGATGGAGTCGGGCATTGGATTGTTGGTTTTGTGGCTATGATTGGCGAAGCTCCTGCAGCTTTGGCAGAGCTATGGGCTTTTTTTCATGGCTTGGATATCGCGTGGAAATCAGGGCATCGCCAGATTGAGATCGAGTCGGACTCTCAGCTTGCCATCCAGTTAATTAATGACAGACATGATCCGGTGCACCCTTACGCCACCTTGTTAGCAGCTATTCGCAGGAGGATTAGTCGGGACTGGTTGGTGCGCATTGTTCATGTGTACCGCGAAGGGAATAGAGTCGCGGACTGGCTCTCGAAGCACAGTCTCGTCTATCCCTTCGGGTTACATGCACTTGCACACCCGCCGTCAGGGGTGATTACCATTCTCCAGGACGATATTCAGGGGGTCTCTTTTGAGCGGCGGATTGTGTCCCGCCATGACACCTCCTCTTCCTCCCATCCCCCCATGTAACCTCTCTTTTTCTTGGCTTTTGCCTCCTTGTATGCAAAAAAAAAATATAAACCTCTTAGTGAATCATAATTTTTTTTTAGCATTAAATGTAGATTGTTGAAAAAATATTATTGATCAGAAAACAAAATGGATTCCTTAATGGCTTAAAGAGCTTGGGCACCGACTTTTCTGTCGCTATTATAGGTGCAGATTAGATTCACATTAGATAGAAGGAAGATTCCAAATATAAAAATGTGCAGAAAAGATCTGAATGACCACATGATGTTTCCGCAACTATTTTTATGATTTTTTTTGGATTATCGAGGAAGAAAGGACCACAATATATAGAGAATGATGTTCTCAAATGTTCCTTTTTAAATTTTAATATATGGGGAAAAATTTAAAGATTAATGCATTTATAAAACAATAAACATTTTTCTATACATGTATGAATTTTTTAGGGAATAATATCTATGTTTGAAATACTTTTAAAACTATGATATTGTGAGAACGGAGAAGAAAAGGTTTGAAATCTGGGAGATTAATTGGATGCTTTAATTGTTGAAATTGGATAAGTACAATGATAATTAATTTAAATGTTTACCAAAAATTTATAAGTAAATAATTGATTTCTATATATTCATATAAGTGGTTGGTGAGGGTAGATTGAGGATTAGGTTCCGCTAGGGATGGCAATGAGTCGAGTTGGGTCGGTTTTGCCAAATCCAAACCCAAATCCGTGGGTTTATTCGTGAAAAATACTCGGGGTAAAACCCATTGGGTTTGGAAAACACAAAGACAACCCAATCTGCTGAGTATCCGCGGGTTCATGGGTAACCATGGGTTTTTGTCGTAAAAAATTTACAATAACAAGTTCCTATCAAAGTAAAAGTCAAATATCTATCTCTCAATACAAATTATACATATATAAAACACAATTCTAGAAAATTCAAGAAAATCACAAATTAACCATACAAATTGTTCAACTCCAATCTAGATTACTCAAGTAAATTGAAGCAAATCACAAATTATCCGTAAACAACATGATTAATTGGAAGCTTCTTCCTCCTTGTCAATTAAGCTTCTTCACTCTCCACTCGATAATATCAACTTCATTCTACACAATTAGAAAGAAAAAATTAGACATGTCTCCACAAATATAAAGAAGATAAGTTACTTAGAATATTAAATATACAGGAAAAATTAATTATATAGGTGTGGGCGGGTACCCATGGGGTGAGTATACTTAAACCCAAACCCAACCCGATGAATAGTGAATGGGTTTAAACCCGAACCCGACCCAAAGCCCGTCAACACAGGTTTTACCAGCGTTGATCGGGTTGGGTCGGATAGAGTACCTGTGGGTTCGGGTTTTGTTGCCATCCCTGGGTGCCGCAGGGTAGGGGTGTGTTAGAGAGTGATATAAGATCCATCATAACTTTCTCCCAACAACTCAAGTTATTTGGACTAACTAGTTTATGACAGGGTATCAGGGTTGTTGGGAGTAACTGGTTTATGACATAGTATCAGAGCTGGTTTTGCCAAGTGGTCGTGTGTTCGAATCTCCACGATCCCCGATATTAACCGTTGATTAAAGCACAAGGTACGGTGGGCCTGTGCAAACTTCTAGCCCATGGGTTGGCTTCATTTGAGGGGGTGTGTTAGAGAGTGATATAAGATCCAACATAACCTTTTCCCAACAACTCGAGTTATTGGGACTAATTGGTTTATGACAGGGTGGACATTTAGTTAGTTGGGGTGGTTACCACATCAAATTAATCCGCTCACTTACTGATAATTGTTACAATTGTGAACCGATATCCGTTGACAGTTTTTCCAGGTTGGATTGGGTAGATATTAGTGTATGTAGTTGGATTGTGGGTTTACCGGCCAAAGAAATTCCCACTTTTTTTGTTGCCAAAAGATAGCATGCATTACCAATTCACGAGTACAGTTATTGTTATTGAATTACAATTAATATAGTCCTAGAAAGAAAATCAAAGTGATAAAAATGAAAGTTTAGCCTATGCATAGTAGAATTAGTACTTGTTACAAGTGAAATTGAATCCGCCTTTGCAGACACCCTTCCATTTGGCCGACGGAGGACCAAAACCACGGTCATCGAAACTGGGTAGTTCCGGTCAATATCCACTATCTATGAGTCCAACTACGACATCACTAGCAACACCCTCAGCGTTCTTAATCATCGTGGGTTGAGGAAATCCTAAGAAATCCCATGACCTCGTGGTCTGAAGCTGCAACTTCTTGCTTGGGAAAATAGAGATGACGTCTTTTCTGCCTACAAGGAAAAAAGAAGACAGGCTTATTAAGGGCTCATCAATGGCGTGTATCATTGATTGATTATGGTTACGATGATCGGTCAAAATATGTTAATTAAAACTAATACTAGTCATTGATCAATATTCTCGTGTATATACAAATGATGCTTGTATATTTATAATTAAAGTCATATGTATGTTCTGAAAGTCTTATTTATGTTCTAAAATGACTAAAAAAAACCCTTAATGGATAAACCATGAATGAATTCTCACAAACACAAAAATTGAAGATTTAATAAATAATTTTATTTGGAAATTATTTATAAATAATAATTTTATGACTATTTTCATTTTATCATACTTATAAAATTGTACTACACCTCCATTTTAGAATAGGGACTCTACAATTCATTGTACGATCTTTCCTATTAGAAATTAGAATGAAGACATTTGTGGATGGAATGAGACATATTTCACGTATCAGAAATCGTTTGGGCTTCGTCATTGGTTAGTTGCGCCGCAAATCCGTTGAAACTCCTTTTGTAACTCCTGACCAATAATCCTGTCGACTCTAATGGGCTGGACGAATGAAATTATTATAACCAATTATTAGAATTTTCAATTTGACTTATGAAAAAATGATTACCAATATGTACCAAATATGCTATACGGTCTGCTATGCCAAGCATTAAATAGAGCAGGAAAAATAACATGAATAATTTTTTTACAAGGACGGCAATTTTAAATACATTTGATATGTATATCGAATTATATGAGTATTAAACGAGTTTTTGCTAATTATTATGATGACTAGAAAAATCGGGAAAATCTCGACCTGTCATCGACAATTTCTTGAAGTATGGAGAGATGGTGAGATAGTGGAGAATACTGTTGATCATGCTTAGGCAATGCACCCATGTACACTATATAAACCTGTTAATGAATCATAAATTTTTTTTAGCATTGAATGTAGATTGTTGAAAAAATATTACTGATCAGAAAACAAAATGGATTCCCTAATGGCTTAAAGAGCTTGGGCACCGGCTTTTCTGTCGCTATTATAGGCGCAGATTAGATTCACATTAGATAGAAGGAAGATTCCAAATATAAAAATGTGCATAAAAGATCTGAATGACCACGTGATGTTCCCGCAACTATTTTTATGATTTTTTTTTGGATTAACGAAGAAGAAAGGACCACAGTTTATAGATAATGATGTTCTCAAATGTTCCTTTTTAAATTTTAATATATGGGGAAAAATTAAAGATTAATGCATTTATAAAACAATAAACATTTTTCTATACATGTATGAATTTTTTAGGGAATAATATCTATGTTTGAAATATTTATAAAACTATGATATTGTGAGAACGGAGAACAAAAGGTTTGAAATCTGGGAGATTAATTGGATGCTTTAATTGTTCAAATTGGATAAGTACAATGATAATTAATTTAAATGTTTACCAAAAATTTATAAGTAAATAATTGATTTCTATATATTCAGATAAGTGGTTGGTGAGGGTAGAGTGAGGATTAGGTGCCGCTAGGGATGGCAATGAGTCGAGTTGGGTCGGTTTTGCCAAATCCAAACCCAAATCCGTGGGTTTATTCGTGAAAAATATTCGGGGTAAAACCCACTGGGTTTGGAAAACTCAAACACAACCCAATCCGCGAGTTCATGGGTACCGATGGGTTTTTGTCGTAAAAAATTTACAATAACAAGTTCCTATCAAAGTAAAAGTCAAATATCAATCTCTCAATACAAATTATCCATATATAAAACATAATTCTAGAAAATTCAAGCAAATCACAAATTAACCATACAAATTGTTCAACGCCAATCTAGATTACTCAAGAAAATTGAAGCAAATCACAAATTATCCGTAAACAACATGATTAATTGGAAGCTTCTTCCTCCTTGTAAATTAAGCTTCTTCGCTCTCCACTCGATAATATCAACTTCATTCTACACAATTAGAAAGAAAAAATTAGACATGTCTCCACAAACATAAAGAAGATAAGTTACTTAGCATATTAAATATACAGGAAAAATTAATTATATGGGTGTGGGCGGGTACCCATGGGGTGAGTATACCTAAACCCAAACCCAACTCGATGAATAGTGAATGAGTTTAAACCCGAAACCGGCCCTAAACACGTCAACACGGGTTTTACCAGCGTTGATCGGGTTGGGTCGGATAGGGTACCTGTGGGTTCGGGTTTTGTTGCCATCCCTAGGTGCCGCAGGGTAGGGGTGTGTTAGAGAGTGATATAAGATCCAGCATAACCTTCCCCCAACAGCTCAAGTTATTTGGACTAACTGGTTTATGACAGGGTATCAAAGTTATTGGGAGTAACTGGTTTATGACATAGTATCAGAGCTGGTTTTGCTAAGTGGTCGTGTGTTCGAATCTCCACGATCCCCAATATTAACCGTTGATTAAAGCACAATGTACGGTGGGCCTGTGCAAACTTTTAGCCCATGGGTTGGCTTCGTTTGAGGGGGCGTGTTAGAGAGTGATATAAGATCCAGCATAACCTTCTCCCAACAACTCGAGTTATAGGAACTAATTTGTTTATGACAGGGTGGATATTTAGTGAGTTGGGGTGGTTACCACATCAATTAATCAGCTCACTTACTGATAATTGTTACAATTTTGAACCGATATCAGTTGACATTTTTCCGGGTTGGATTGGGTAGATATTAGTGTATGTAGTTGGATTGTGGGTTTACCGGCCAAA